TGTGGTCCAGAGATACTGGAATTAGCTGAAAGAATTTTCAGAGGTGGCCCTCCATTAATTAATCTTTTACTCTTAAAAGATAATTTAAAAATCTCAAATGAATTCTAGAAGAAAACTTCTTATATAGATGGGTTATGATATAGATTCTATATCATAACCCAGCACAACTTACCAATCCACCACCACCTCTAAGACCACCTACACCAATTAGTATCAACATCATAGAAACAAACCATATAAAGAAGAAAACAATGAAGAATAAAAACTGTAAATATTTAAAGAATCTAAGACAAAAAACCAGATTCAGAATATACTATAAACATATAAATAAAAAAAGAATACTATTGGTGAAACTTGTTATACTCAAAACTCTAAAACCTAAAAAGACACCATATTGAACAACTCAAGAAAGAAAAAAAGAGACAAAATCAAATCAATTCAATCAATGAATATTGTCCAACAAAGTGGTACAATGAAAATTTACAAAAAAAAAAGAAAACTAAAATCAAGTATTAGTTGTAAAATTTTATGTAAACCTTTTATAATTTAATTAACTTTTAGTTATATTAACTTTTAATCTAAGTTTTGTATTTTATCACATTATTATTTTGAATTTATAAATTATACTTACCTATATTTATATTATATTTTAAACCATAATAATAATTTCCTTTAATTATAAGTTCATTAATTTAACTTTATTTTTATTATTTAAACTAATGCAATTGTTCAGCTATGTCAGATCAAATAAATGAACCAAAATCATAACGGCTGTGGTATTATTATAAGAATTTAATTTTAATAATGTTTAGTAAATCCATATCATATTGACTTGTTTAAACTATTACGTGTAACCCTGGATTGTAAATATTACATTTTAATATAAATGATAAAAATTGTTATTCTTTGCAATTTAACAATCCTATCATATATTTATGTAATAAATGATTGTGCAATCAGGTCACATTAGATAATTTGTCATAGGATTAAACTTCATGATGATCGAAAACTACAGCATCAATATTAGTCATTATTCCTTCTCGGAAGAGACAATCAGCAACTAAATTGTTTTTTCCTTTTTAGAATTTTAGAATAAAGTCGTTTATTTTGATAATTATTATTTCATAATTGTTATATTACCCGTTACTTGTATTGCTGTTATTTCTATAATCGTATTCTTAATTATTGAATATCTATTATTTCTATCAATATTATTGCCTGTATTATTATATTCTCTTTTGATACGATAATTGTTGTTACGAAAATTATTCAAATTTGGTCTGGTATTATTATTATAATTATAATTATTATATTTAAATTTATTAGATGATGATTGGTTTTCCGAAATATTAAATTTTGATAGTACATTTTCTATTTTACAAATTTTTGAAGAGAGAATGTCAAATTTAGTTTGATTAATATTATGATTATTTATGTGAAATAAGTTTTCTCTTGCTATGTTATGTTGGATTTCGTCATTAGATTGAGTCCTAGTACCTTCTAACAAAAATTCTATTGATTCAAATATTCTTATGTTTTTCTTTAGTCATTGCAAATTATTATTATTAAGTATGCACACATATCTAGCTACTTTTTCCTGTAAGCCGTTCATGGTAGTATAAACTAATTCTGTTTGGGACATATTAGAATTTACTTTTTTACAAAGGGATTCTTCTTCATTAATATAACTGACTATTGTTTCATGAGTGAGTTTTTTTACGTTTTTCTACCATAGTGTATGCTTGTGATGTTTGGTCAAATTCTAATTGAAGAGCTTCTTATATTTCGTTCCAGTTCGATTTCGGGTTATCAAATTCAACATTTTTAAAAAATAATAAGGCTTTTCAGTGAGAAAATACCTAAGAAAGTTTTCTTTTGATCATTAGTTCAGCAATTTATGATAGCTTCCCTGTTCTATTTATTTAAACATTTATTTATGCTATGAATGTGTTAAAGCTTTCATGGATTGTCTTATTGCTTGAAGTGCTTGAGGATATATCCATGTTTTTAGTTGGTTTCTAACGTTTCGGACTCGTTTATTTATGCTTTCATGTAAAGCGCCAGAAAACTGTTCAGGTTTACAAAAGGGAATTCGTTCATTCATTTGGTTAAATGTATTATTGGAAATAGTCTTTTGAGTATAATTATATGGTAAATATTTATTACAAATTTTAGAGTAATCTGAATCAGTGCCTTACTCCACCAAATGACGTAATAGTCTTGCTTTTAGTTCGGATATGGAACCTATGCTAATTAAATTTCTGTTATCTAATTCTTTCTTAAGGGTGTTGAACGACATTTTTTAAATAAATTTTTCTGGGTTTTCAACAGAATCAAGATCATATAATTGTCCTTTAAATACAATACTAACAGATTCGACAATATCTAATATTCAGAACATTTTTGATTAGCGAAATCGAAATGTTATAAACCTATAAAACCATTCAAACAATTGAAATATTCAAAACATAATTAATTTTAATGATTTACTTTCACTAAAAGAAGCAATCAAAAAGTTGCACATAGAAATTAGTAAAACGTTTTTTTTTTTGAACTTCTAGTACAAAAAATAAGCTATTAAGATTTATTTAAAAGACTAAGTATTCTCGAAACATTTTCAAAAGTTAAGTTGAAAAAGTACTACTTTTTATACGCATTTTCCAGTTTTCAAATAAGCTTTTCTTAACTTTGAAGAGGCAAAATAATTAAAATAAGTATAAATCTATATTTAACGTAAATTACATTCATGTAAATTTTATATTTATTAGTGGCCTATGGCAAACCCTTATAAGATATTTTAAAATAAACAAAAAAAAATTTGAACACAAAAGTAGTATGTTTTTGAATACAGCAGACGTTTGCACGTAGAAAGTAAGTAGTCGGGACAAATTTATTTTTAATTTATAGTACGTAATGTAAACTTTAATATCACATATGTTTTAAAGACGCAGTATTTCCGGAACATTTTCAAAAGTTAAGTTGAAACAGTTGAGATTTGTAAAAAAAGTTGCTATTTTAAATCCCGTCTTATAAGCAGGTATATATCATAAAAATAATATATCAAATAAAAGGAAATTATTTAAGGTTTCAATATAATAAAAAAATATTTTGATTTGTTCATTTTCAATAAATTAATAATTTTTAGAATAAAAAGTTTTATCTTTTGTACGCGTGTATGTCACATAGTATGAATTTAAAAGNTATTAGTGGCCTATGGCAAACCCTTATAAGATATTTTAAAATAAACAAAAAAAAATTTGAACACAAAAGTAGTATGTTTTTGAATACAGCAGACGTTTGCACGTAGAAAGTAAGTAGTCGGGACAAATTTATTTTTAATTTATAGTACGTAATGTAAACTTTAATATCACATATGTTTTAAAGACGCAGTATTTCCGGAACATTTTCAAAAGTTAAGTTGAAACAGTTGAGATTTGTAAAAAAAGTGGGAAAATTTTTTCAATATTTGAGAGTAATTTCTTCAACTATATACGATTTGTGATCTTTTGATGTATCTACGATACGTAGTTACGTACTATAATGCATCATGCATGACACGCCCCTTGACTCGTGCCACCTTTATCAGTTGTCGCCCTATTTTATGAGTATTTGACTGGCCAACACCGCGTGTCATACGCTGAGGTGGTGCGAAGTCCAGCAAATGCCGCACGGCCGACGACGACCCGCCGCAAATGACACGTCTAGTCTTCTTCCCGTTGTGAAAGCGACAACGTCGACCAACCGATCCGCACTCGCGCACCGTCTCCTTCAACGCTGCTAACCTGTTGTCGTCCAAGGATCACGCCGGACACCGTGTCGTCGACGCCAGCGAAAGTGCCGCGATATTATGCGAAGGTAATTATTATTGTATTCGTCATTTCGGTTTGTTTTATTTTTTGTTTAAATAACCTGTTGTCGCTCATTTAATAAACGGCCCACGAGTCTCTACCCTCAAAACCAGTGTCGACCAAATTTTTGCGACTGAAGTGGTGTCATGCATTATAGTGAAAACATAAGGTATTATTGTTTAGAAATTCCTAATTTTATATTTTATGTAACTAATTTTTGAAAAATATATGATTCAATATCATTTTTTAACTAATTTATATATGCTTCTTTTATTTTACATTATGTTTTTTTTTAATCTGTCTATTTTTTATAATACAGATGTCTAACTTGATACTTATTTATAAAAAAAAAAAACTTTTCCAACTTTCACATAACAATTAATATACAGGGTGTTCAGTAAGTCAAGAAACGGGTTTCTATTGTTCTCATTGTTTAAACATCTGACCTGTTTCCTTACTTACTGAACACTATTTATATTTAACACAAACTAATATAATTTACTATAAGTTAAAAAAATATACCCTAAGACTTTATTACTACAGTGTGATATATTAGAAACACTGAAAAATAGACGATTAAAACCATTTTTTTATATAAATACCTTAGGTATTTATCTATCATTTGGTGTATATATGTATATTTTAAATCTAAGTCTTTACGTGCCCTCAGAGGCAGACTCAAAATAGCTATTCCAGAAAAAATGAACATTTTCTAGTTGAATTAAAATTGACCGAAGACATGTCTTCTACAGTGATTTATTAAGAACACTAAAAATAAGTTATATTTCAATATTTTATCATCTTAAAGTACATTGTATTAGATCTAATTTCATGTCGTCAGCCAGTAAAAATCTGCATTATTAAAAGTGTCATAATGGCCCGTCCAGATTTTAAAAAGCTTTTTAAATATGTGAACTGAAAGGAATAATTTCAAATTATAACGCTGATAACATTAATTAGATTTTTAACATATTTTTAAATGAAATCGTTCATTAGGAGATGAGCAATTCGGTCTACTGACAATAAAACAAGCATAATAAGATGAAACATAAATTTGATTTATTTGTATTAAACTGATCTTATCTAATTATCAATAATATTTTTGATAAAAAATATGGAAAAAGTATATTTTAAAAACGAAAGTATAATTTAAAGTATATTAAATAGTATATAATAAAATATATTTCATTATTATCAATACAAAGTATACGTATTTTTTTTTAAATTATCATTTGCTACATCAACTAAACTATCAAATATTTTCATTTGTTTATTCACATTGATGCCATAAATCATTAAACTCTGAAAAATAACACATATATAAGTACAAAAAATTATAGTGCAGTACAAATCTAGTAAAGTGAGTAGAGGCATTTTTTAAATTAGTATCAACTAATATCTGACAGTTATTAAAATCACATTTTGATAGGTACGAAAAAGTATTAATCTTTTTACATACCTTGTGTAATATTATATGATCACTTATAATATTAGGATGTTATATGATTTTATCTTTTGTACGTGTGTATGTCACATAGTATGAATTTAAAAAATCACCAAAACAGGATTCCCTTTTTTAAACACAAAATAACTAGTTAACTAGGGAATTAGATCTGATTATTGTACAGATTTAAAGTAACGCCTATATGTAAGTTCTCAATTAATTTCAGTCAATTACATTTAACAATTAATTAAGATCTACAGTTTCCAAGATCACGCTAGATATCGCTACACTACCATCATCTGACTATAAAATCCCATTTTTTCCTATTAAAATCAGTTCTTTCGGTAATTTAAAAATACACAAAATCTGCGACACTCTGCTCAAGATTATTACTCTATAGGACTTAGTTTTTTTAAATTGAATTTGGACTTTGAATATTTTTTCAAATTAAACGGAACTTATAAGAAATTTAAGGCGAATTTTTTCGATGAATCTTTTATTTTAAATTTGTTTGTTCATTAAATAATAATGTTTTATTTTTTTGTAATGGAAATATATGTCAATTAATATCTTAAACCTCAAAAGTTATTTTAAAAATTAAAAATATTTTAAAAATTGGTTAAAAGAAAATAATTTATTTTTATAATAAACCCGATTCATTTTTAAATATTTATTTAACGGTAAATATTCATTGTGAGCTTTTCTTACTGAGTAGCTTTCATTCTTATATGATCAGCCACCATTTACTAACCTTACTTATCCACTCTTTATTTATATCATTATTTATTTATATATTTTGCCACACTTGAACAACATATTTTTCAATTTCATCATATTTTATTTTATTTTATATTATTCCATTATTATTTTTGTACATTTACTATATATTATTTTATTTTAACTACTTATTTGTTCTCTATAATTTCTTTTGGCTTATTACACTTGTTGATTTGTTGATGTTGGGATTTGTATTGTTAAAGTTTGGCTAGTTGATGGCAGACCGTTCAATTGTAGAAGTGTAATAGTTCTTCGGTTATAAATGTTAAAAGCAATATATTTTTAACACGCTTATGTTAGTTTCACCTGTATGTTTGTTTGTAACTCTCCACGCGCCACGTGTTATTATTCCGTCGTCAATGATCTTGAGACTAGACTGTCGTAACGCATTCACCCC